AAAAGAGAGAGGAGAGGATAAGAAAGAAGAGGGAATAGAGGAGAGGGGAAGGGGAAATAAACAATAGCAACTTTTCCGTCCATGAGGCAGCTGGTTCTCTGTGGCTTTGAACTCCTCGGGACAGTACGCTTTATCATCTGGAATAATAAATGCAGACCCGGTGGCCGGAGGAGGAGTGGGCTGGCCAAAGGCTCCATGACATGCCAACAGCGGGCAGCCTGCTGTTGGTGTCAGCACCAAGGAGCCTGGGAGGGTGTCAGGGAAGCATCAAGGCCAGGAGAACCTCAGCTGGTGCTCAGTGAGCTGTTCAAAGAAAACAAGGTCTCCGGGGCCAGAGGGACCCTCCTGTTGCTGGTGACTCTGACGCGATGTGGGTCCTAGAAGAAGTGTGGTATTTTTAGCTCTCTAGTTGCTTTGAAAGAAAGAAGCAGAGCCACAGTGTGCAATTTATTATTTTGGGGGACCATAATAGCTAACAGCTCCAAAAACACTCTGGATATGCTCCACAGCTCATCAAGGAGCACATCACTGAAGAATGAGGACAGGATAAACACCATCTGTGTCAGAGCGCTGCTGGTGTGCAAGGGCTTGGGCACCCAGAGCTGCACTGGCCTCTCCTGGGACAGAGGATGGCCACTCAACCGTTAGATCCTCAGTGGGTTGACCTCCTCCTGGTCCTTGAACATTTTGGTTCAATGGGACTTAGTGGAAGTGCTCATTGCCTAGGCCACTGGAAGGTTGTGGAAATTCCCTGGGGTAGGGAGTCAGCCCAGGACTTAACCTGTCCACTTGCTTGCTGTGGTTTGGGAGGTGCCACATGGCTACCAAGAGCCTAGATAGATGGAGATCCAAAGTCTCTCTGTTCAGAGGGCCAGTGTGGGCACCTCTGCTCTTCTGCAGGCAGCTGAGGTTCCAGACACGTTACCACGCGGAGCCTGCCTGCCTTCCCCAACATGCACAACTGTGCATGCTGTGTCTACTGCATATGCTCTTTGAAAGCTCCTGTCAAGGCTTGACCCTGCTTGGAGGGAAGAGCTCCAGAAGTCTCTCAGAGCAGATCCTTTCCTTTGGCACATAGCCCCCTACAGTCCTCCCACTGCCTGCAATGCTCTACCTGGGGAGACAGGTGAATACAGATCTCTGAAGAGCAGGTTGTGGCCATGACACCCTGTAACTATCCCAGTAATTAGAACTTGGTGCTTCCCAGGAGATGATCTGCTTATGAATGCATCTTTAAATATCCCATCTCTTTCTACTTTACAGGGCTCCTGAGCATGTTCAAAGAGTGCAAAGGCACCTAATAAAAGACCTAGTCTATGAACATTAGAAGGATTGTCACAAGGTGAGCTAATTGTAAAGCAGAAAATAAAGGTGCAGGGAGCCAAAGCAAAAATTCTTCCTCCTTCTGCTTCCTCTCTCTCTCTTCCAACCTGAGTATCTACATAAATATTGGACACTGCCCAAGCCCTAGAGAAATACCAAGGAATGAGACAGAAAAGATCTTCCTGCCCCCAGGAAACATATGTTCTGTTGAAAACCCAAAGCAAACACATAAACATGGCTTTATAGTTGAATGAATGAATAACAGGGAGGGTGGTGCAATGACAAGAGGTCCTCAGAAACCAGCCAGCTCTGCCTCCAGCTAGCAGCTGCCTTAAGCTGGAGATGTGGCCCTAGAGCCACTTGCATCTGTGTTCCCCCTCTGCCAGGAGGGACAATGGCTGTGAGGACCACGTCAAGTCAAGAGCCTGGTTTATGGCTTCCTAGGACCTGGTCCCTGGGGGAAAAGAGCTTGTGAAGCTCCCACCTCTTCTCCGAGGGACACCACTTACCTTTGAAACTCTCTGCATGGGTTCCTAGGGCTTTGCCCAGGCCCTGTATCATGGTTGACTGAGGTCCGCTGGGATGGGGCTCTGGGTCTTACCTAGTTTCAGACTCTTGGCTAGAACTGTGTCTGTTTCCCATCTGTACCAAGAGGGAGTTGGACTAGAAAATCTCCATTTCCGTATCTTCTCGTATTGACATTCTCTGATTTTGGCTTGTGGATAAATCCTCTATGAGAATGCTTTCCCTCCCCAGCTAGTGAGCTCCAATTAATTTTACGTGATCACTATGAACTGAAGGCTCTGAGACAAAATATTATGGCCTTGCATATTTTATCTCCCTGAAGAGCAGTTGGTGTACTTGGTGTCCTCAAGGCTGTGGGCACATACACTTGCTGCCATAAGAATTTGGTGAAGGTCAGCTAGAGAGAGCAGGATTGGTTCAGTTGTGTCCAGAGGTCAGAGCAGGCTGCGTTCTATTTGGCAGCAACAGGACTAACGGGCAATCATGTCCCTGTGTACCTGTGTGTGCACATGTTTACTCCAGAATCTGCATGCAAGATTACAGTCTTCCATAGACTCAGGGTTGGATATTTTCTTTATGTTTTGCTTATTTTCTTTCTTAATATGTTCACTAACTATGCATGTGCATCCAAAATTGCATAAGTTATTATGAACCTTCACACATATCTTGAAAAATTGGGTAGCACTCTTCCAGTCTTACAGATTGAAATACTAGTGATCAGAGAGGATCAGTACTCTTAAAGTTGCACAGCTAGGAAATGACTGAGGGTTAACTCTAACTCAGATAGGTCTAATGTCAAGGTCTATACACCTTCAATTAGCAACCTCCTCATGCAAATTGGACGCCTGAGAGTGAGGTAATAAACTTATGATCTCAGAGCAGGCTCAATCAATCTATAAGATTCATCTGTCAAGTTCACAGCAGATTTCTTCAGCAAATTTCTAGGATATGGTTTTCAAATTTGGGGCTGATCCTTGCATTTAGTTTCTCTTATCTGACATTGAGTAATTTTGCATTTTTAGGAAGTAGGTTGTCTAGAACCACCATATACTGAGAAGTAGGGTGGGAGTAGAGTTTGGTGCTTGGATCCTCAGAGTTATCCCTCCCATCTCCTAGGATACCCCACATGCAAATCCATAACAGAACAGAAAATGAAATATCGATTGTTTTAATGGCTGAATAAACACAGAAAACCTCTCTGCAAAGCAATGGTAAAGATTGCATTGGGGACAGTAGCCTAGATTGAAGCATGTTTCATCTCACCTCTTGGATTTAGATTTGATTCTACAACCTCAGGTTTGCAAAGTGAGATATTTGGGTTGGTGAAGCAGACCCCAAGTTTATTTACTCAACCACATGAATGAGGGGGGGTTTGCCTGATCCTTTTATGCCCCACAAGTGATATGGAAAAATAGTTGGTGGGTGTTTCCTCAGCAGATGCTTACTGCAGACAGACAGAAAGTAGGCAACAGGAAGTGATGGGCAGGCACACAGGAAGTGGGTAACAGTCCACCATGTTTGAGTCCAGAGAGAAAGGGAGAGACTGTGTGTGTGTCTGTGGGGAGGGGCGATGGTGAGTAGTGCTCTTCCTCATGCTTCAGGAAGCAGAATAGGATATATTCACAGTGACATGTCACATTTCCATGTAGTATCATTGCCTACTAATAATCTAGGGTTCAGGACTGTCCTGGTCTATCCAACCAAACGGATAATTCTTTGTCTTCCTGGAGAAATCAGTAAAGGCAGAGACACTGAGTACAAAGATAATTGTAGACATTCCCTCCATCATGGACCAAGCCTGAAGTGTGAGGTGAAGGATGACAGAGATGTTTCTTCTCAACATCATTTTTTATTGAGCACCAACTCTGTGTCAGCTCTTAGGTTAGCAGACGACAAAAAGAAGAGTTCCCAGTCTCCTGAGGAGCATCATCCACTCCATCAATATTTGAGAACCTTAGCTGGGTGCAGTGTCATATGACTGTAGTCCCAGCTACTCAGGAAACTGAGGCAAGAAGATAGCAATTTTGAGGCCAGATTTGACCAAAAGAAAATTGAAAGCCTGCTTCACCAAGGCACCAGGGTGATGAATAAAGCTAACTTGGCCCCTGTTTTCAGAATGCTGGTATTTTATTTGGGGATCCACAGAAACTCTAGCCAGTAAGTAGAATAATAAGTAAAATCATGAGGAATTGTTGTGAGTGTTCTGAAGGTAGCAAGCAAGGGGCAGAGAAAAATAAAGATGACAAAAACCACTCCATGTATGATGGTTGAGGAAAGTCTCTCCAAGGGGTGACATGGAAACAAATAATAACCATATTACAAAATTCAAATTGCAGTATGATGTTTAAAATATTCTGGGTGTAGAAGGGAGGAAATGATGACTTCTTTGGCTGGGAAACTTTTGACAGTTGAAGTGATTTTGCTCAAAGCCATGAAGTGGGTCACAGGCAAACCCAAACCTAGGCTAGAATCTGGGGCCAGAAATGTTTCTTTTGCTTAATGCCTTTATCTGGCTCCTTTTATTCGTGTGTCTTGGATCACTTCCTTTGGATTAGATCGCCTGGTGGGGGTGAGTTGTCTTCAAAGAGTTAGTCTTTATGTCTTGGAAGAAGAATCAAAGGTCATTGAAAAGAAAACATGTGTCACGCTAAAAGTCTCTTTTGAAAAGACAATGAAAAATTAGATTATACTTGAGTTTAAGCTTCAAGCACTTCTCGCTCATCAGTGGGTTTATACCCTCCATAGACTCATAAGACAGGGAACAGATGGAAAACACTTTCTAGACTATAATGTACACATGAGAGAAATGATCAGATACCTCTCTCTCTCTCTCTCTCTCTCTCTCTCTCTCTCTCTCTCACACACACACACACACACACACACACACACACACACACACACACTCGTGAAGATCTCCCCCCCTTACCTTTAGAAGATCACTGATCCCATCCCTATCCTCTGAGAATTAGAAACAAAAGTGGCTTGGTTCCGAAGTGGCGAGAGCTCCCACAAACACTCCCTTCTCATCTTCCTTTTATCTTTTCCAGGGACCATCAGCTGCCAGAAATGTGTCACTTCCAGCACTCCTCCACATTTCATGGAACATCTTATTTGGATAAAACTTAAATTATTACCACACTACTCTGCGCACACTTTTTTCCCCTTCTTTTTTTCCACGAACAGTCGTAACCAAGCTTGACAAACTACTGATTTCTACCAAAGCAACTTCGATGCCTTCCAGACATCAGAGCCGACAGATGAGAAGAGCTAAGAACATGGAGGAGGCTCCTGTAGACACCAATGTCTCTTGCCATTTCATACCATAGCTCCCCTCCTCCAGGCAGCCTTCCCAGGTTGGTGAGCAGCAGATGAGGTTACTCACTAATCGTCATCTGAACAGAGGAAGTGTGGGGCTCTGTTTGCTTTGTGTTGCTTTCGTCCCCTCCATTGATGACCAGGCTCTGCTCTGGACAGTGGAATTATAATGATGAGTCCTATGACCCAAACAACTTTAAAGGCACTGTAGACATGAACGATTAAACAAAGAGGAGTGGGTTACGGTTTAGATTTTAGGTGTTTCCCACAAGCTCCTGCATAAGATAATGCAAGAAGGCTTAGAGGTGAAATGATTGAGTTAAGAGAACTTAAGCAGTCCACTAATCCCCTGATAAGGATTAACTGGGTGATAACTGCAGACAGGCAAGGTGTGGTTGGAGGAGGTGGGTCATTGGGGGGGGGCTGCCTTCGTGGTCTACATTTTGTGAGGTGAGCTTAGTCTCTCTCTGCTTCCTGGTATGATATCCTGAGCTGGTCCCCCCTGCCACACTCCACCAGAATGTACCTCAAATTCCAAAGAATGGAGCCAGCTGTCTATGGACTGAGCCCTCTGAGATTATGAGGTGCCAAATTAACTTCTCATCGTCTAATTGCTCTCGTCAGGTCTTTTGATCATGGCAGCAAAAAAAGCTGAGCACGGTATGGAAAAAAGTGACGTGAAATGAAAGTGTAGAAGCCTTCTCAGAGAGGAAGTATGGCAAGAGAACTTCCCACTGGAAGGATGAAGGAAGATCTCTTAATTTTTGATCTTGGAGGAGGTGACATTTGAGGTGGTCCTTTAAGGATGGTAAGTACCTCTACCCGGGTAGAGCTAGGGTAACAGATGCATCTGGGAAGGGGAACATTAACATCATCCAAAAAGTGGGACATAGTACATTCTTGGTGGGAAGGCAGGAACCAAAGAATAAAGAAGAATCTTTGGAGGATAAAAATAACCCAGATGCCTGGCACATACAATGGTTGACAAGGAAAACAAGTCATCATCACTAAGGGAGAGAGCAGTTGGACTTGGGGAGAGCTTGAATTCAAAATTAGGCCCAGGTCAGCACATTTAGTGTGGAATCTTGAACATTTCTTTTAACATCTCTGAGTTTAGTGTTCCTCATTAACTATGACGATAACAATGCTTGTCATTCAGAGTAATGATTTTATGCACTAATTTGTATAAGGTGCTTGGAAGTGTGCTTAGCTCAAAATAGCTTGGACACTTGAAAGCCTTGTTTGACTCTTTCAGCAAAGTGCTGGAGGCTGTTAAAGATGGAAACCCAAATGTGACTGATCTTAGCTGGCCTGGGTATCGCCGCTGGGCAGCATGCCCAATGTTTTCAACTATACATTCTTAGGAGTGTATATTCATCTCTTTGAATTTAGCATTTCCTTGTACAGATTTGAGGATTGTTGACCAAGGACAAATTTTCTCCTCTATTCTTCCCTATTTTCACCTTGATGCATAAAGGAAAGAATTTGTATTCTACCCCTCTCTGTTCTGAAAGGAACACCTACAGACTCTCTTTCCAATCCCTTGTAGTCGTCCTTGTAAGAGAAATGGGGCATTTAATGGGATGCATTCCAGTTGAAAGTCCAGCTCTTACCCCTTACTTGTGAGTGGGGTCGCTGTCCAAGTTCCTATCTTCTGTTCCGTATTCCAGCGTATTCAACTGAGTAGCTCTGAGTCAGACTGATATATCCTGGGGGAGAGTATAGGCCTTACCACTTTCAGATGGAAACCAAAGCCATGTTCTCCAAAAAAGTTAACCTACAGTCTATAATTTGGAGTTATTGGGTACAATAGGTTACCAAATCAGCCACAAATTTGTATATCTTTTCCCATTGAGAGGTGGAATTGACTCCTCTACCCCTGTAATCTGGAGAGGTCTTGTGATTTGTATTGACCAAGGAAGAGAAGCAGAAGTGAATGAATGAGTCCTGAGCTTGGACCTCAAGAGATTTTTTACCTCTTCCTCTTTGTTTCTTGAAACTCTGTGACCTCTGTGAATAGCATGAGCTAACCTTCTGAATTAAGGGGGTTTACATGGAGAGAGCTTAGGCAAGACCATTACAGACTACCTAGGCCCAAGTTAACCCATGAGTGGATACTCAACCAACATCAGCTGAGCCCTGCGCAGATCTTCAGAATGCCCATCTTACTTATGGATTTTTGAGTGATAGTGGATGGCTATTGTTTTAAGTCCCTAAGTTTTGGGGTGATTATTAAGTAATAAAAGCTACCTGATACACATGGGGAGGGCACAAATTTTTTTAAAAAGTTATGCCTACTCCCAACAGAAGAAAGCAGGTATCCACTATTCTAAGCCACTACAGGAGTGACAGCTTCCTTATAAGGTTGCTATTTGTCTAGAGAAGGCTACCAGAAACGGCCACCTAAATTATGAGTAGCAACTATTCTGGGAGGCCCATCCTGGCCAATGTAATTTGTTCTCTCTAAGGTTAATGGCACTGCTGGATTCATGCATGGCAGGTGGTCCTTAGGGATTAAGCAAGCTAAAGGATGTAAAAGTCTCGGGCACAAAATAGATACAAAATAAATGTTCACTTTTATAATAACTTCTTGGTATGGAAATATTTTACTCCACTGAATTTGATGATTATCAATACTTAATTATCAAATAAGTGTCCATTTACCCATTAGAGACGTGTCTAGGGAGTGGTGAGAGTGGAGGTGGTGCACCAGATGATCTTTAAGGTTCTTTCCAGCATGGCTACTCTATGATTCATGGGCTAACACAACTCTTCTCATAAAAAAGGAGCCGAAACACATGGCTTGAGTGAGCCCCTCTGGTGAAGTCGGGGACGTGGCCCCAGAAGCTCAGCATGGCAGGCCATTTGTCAGGCGGCTGTGTCAGCAGCCTGAGAAGCAGTCCATAAAGCTGCCAAAACTGCCCTTTGCTCTGCCCCCATCAAAGAGGAGGCAAAAGTGAGGCCTCTGTGCCAGGACACCCTGCTTGGCAGGAAAGAGAATGTGCTGTGTTCTGAGCAGGAACCTAAATAGTTAACACACACCATTGAAGTCACAAATAAATTCTTTGGTTTGAGATCAAAAGCAAGCAGTAGAGAAAACTAAAAAATTGATGAGATGCCTTTTTCCTTGTCCCCTCCCCTGCATTCCACCCAGCTCTGAAACATCCAGTCTGAAAACTCCCAGGGACAGTTCTCGAGTACTGTACTTACCCCAACGGGGGCTTTGGGACAGATGCGGACACTGGAAAAGCTGAGTTCCAGTCCTGGGCCCTTTGCTCACCAGCCACCTGAGCCTGGACACAGATGCCTGGGCCCCACCCGAGAAACTGATTGAAGCCGTCTATCCAAGAACCTAGCTGTTAGGATCCGTTGCCAGCTCCCCAGGTGATTCTCCAACTCAGCCAGGGCTGAGGATAAGATCTATTTTTTAGTGTGGCTATGAGAACCAATAAAGATAGAGAGATGGTAGACATGAAGGGGCAACAATTGCCACTGGTCTCCACTACTTTGACTGAAAGGATCTTATGCCTTAAAATGAGTACACATAGGTCTCAAGGACCCCCTTGAGTCCATTTTTCATAAGTCATCTTCACTCTCAGGAATCTGTCTTGACTTGAATGATGGATGGGCCTAGGTAGGAAGACCTGAAAAATGGAGTGGGGTGCATTTATGGTGTCCTGAATTCAGGAATACATCCCATCAGTCACCCAGAAAGCTGATTACATTTGCTTCCACATCCTCTGTGTGAGTGGTAACCAAATGACACTTAGGAGTAACTAATATTGCATTATTAATGACAGAATGAAGAAATAACTTCATTCCATTTGGCTAGCCACCATTGGGAGGTGTGGACAGGGATTGAAGTAGGTAGCCGGGGTGGCCAGCTACATTCCATTTCCGTTCTTGCAATGATTTGTTTAGCTTTGCCTGCCTGCACCGAGTCCACAAGTTCTCCCACGGAGCTGACTCTGCTTGTCCCAGAGATCCAGAGCTTAGACCCCACCTTCCCTTCAAACCATTCACAGCACAAGGGAAGCAAAGCCACAGTTCAAAGCACGTTAAGGGTCCATGAGCAGTGCATGTATGAGGGATGAAGTTGTTCAGAAAAGGGTGATGTTGGTGCAGCTAGGAAAATGTGGGGAAAGGTTCTTGGTAGAATTGTGTCCAGACCCAAATCTGTGTCCTTTTAGTTTCTTACCTGGATACATGACTTAGCCACTCTATTTCCATTCCCCATTTTCCAGTCTATTTTCCCAAAAAATCCAGTCCTAGTAGTGTGACTGCCCTGGCCAAACACTCTTCCTGTCCCCACCATCACCACCTGAGAGTGAAAGCCAGATTACTTGGTCAGGTGTTCCTATCCCCTTGGCTCAGGCCACCTCCTTTCCAGCCTCATTTCCCTCTCCGTTCCTCTTGTGCTTCAGCTCAGCCCACATGGAACCATTTGACGTTATTCTGACCCGGGGTGTTCCTTCACCCCTGTCTGCCTTGAATGAGCCTGCAGTGCTTTCCTTTCTCCACACCCTCCATCCCCTCCTTTTCTTGCCACACGAACTCTTTTCTGTCCACCCAATAGTCCTTTTAATGTCTGTGTATACATTATTTCAAATTACTTCTTCTACTGGGAATAATCTTCCTCCTATCTTTGGATTGTCTGCTGAGGTACCCTCCAGTCCTTCAAAAACAAATTCAAATGTTGTCTCCTCTGTGAGGAGCTTTCTCTCTCGTACCCTCCACCCCCACAACAATGGCTTCCTCCTCTGGGGTCTGTTAGCACTTTTGAGTGTCTCTCCCTCAAGTCAGCACTAGTGGCAAGACAGACAGAAATAAGCAGTGAGTCTTTGCTCCCTTGGGAAGCCTAGGTACTACAAATTGATTTTTATTCCTCTGTCTCAGCCCCTCTTAAAGGAAAGGGAACATGTCAGCCAGTGGCTGATAACTAGAATGGATTTATCTTCGTATTGATCTTGCCTTTCCCTGGATTTGTTGTCTAGTTCTTTCCTGGAATCAGATTTCGTTTGCAGGCTAAGTCAGTAGAACAAAATCTTCTGCAATTATTTGCCTGACTTTGCAATGTTTTATGCCATTTATGAGCTAAAACGCTTGCAGACCAAGGAATCAAATACACATGAGGCCAACCTGCAGAAGTTGGGGAGAAGAGCCAAGGTGGCCCATGATCAAGTCCTTGGACTTGGAATTTAGGTCAGAATATTGGCTTTGGGTTTTATTATTCAGCCCCACTCCCAGGACACAAACAACTTTCTGACTTTCTTTATTTTTCCACTTATTTTTACAACTGGCAAGGTCCAAATTCTGGAAAACTCCATTTATTATTTTTCTACTAAACTTGCAATCTCAAAATACATCAGGCTACAAAGAACTCTAGGTCATAGATATCCAAGATCACATGAGTTCCTCTTCTCTAGACTTGTCTTCTTGACTGTAAAATGAGGAAACCATACACAGAGCCTCCAGCCTCTCTTCTAGCTTAAATATTTTGATTCACGTCTCTGCTCTATGTGTCATCCTCCAGCACAATTCAGCATGTCACCGTTAGCACCAACTGTCATCCCAGTATCACCCAGAGTGGTTGACTTCCTACAATGAACTTCAGCAGTTTAAACTGACATTAGAGGTCCTCGGTAGCTTCTTCCCAAAGGACTTTTTATGAGTACTATGTGTTAGTCACCTTTTTTGTCACACAGTGAATACCTTCTGGGGCAGGCTACTTATGAAGAAAAGAGGCCTGTGTAGCTCACAGTTTGGGAGGTTCAAGGGCATAGAGCTGGCACTGGCTCAGTTCTGGGGTTCTTGGCTGAGTCATCTGACGGCAGAGGCCAATGGGAGAAAGGGGTCGCATCTTGATACAGGAAGCAGAGAGAAAGGCACAGAGTCAGGCTTGGCTTTTATAGTAACTTGCTTTTGTGAGAATTCACTCCTGAAGACCAGTATTCCCTTCCAAGATCATCACTCCCATGACCAAGAACCTCCCACTAGGACTCACCTCTAAAACACCCAGGGCACCTGTAGGTATTGTTACTCTGAGGACCAAGCCTCCAACACAGGAGCCTGTAAGAGGACTTCCCAGTTTACCCATGATGTACTTAACTTCTCTCAATCCAAGGCCCAGCTGATTATTTTCTTTTCTTCAGAATTCCATATATGTTTATGGTATTTAAATTTTGGCACATGCTGTTCTCACTGCCTCTGATGTCCTTTCCAAGGTCAGCATTTGGCAAAAGTCATACATGCCATCTCTAGACATGGGGTAATAAGGAATCCTTGCTTGGTATTTCATAGATTCTGCTATAAGTCGCTTTTTGTTTAAATCAGCTTTTTTCACTGTTATGACTGAAAGACCTGACCAGAACAATGGTTTGGAAGGGTTTATTATGGGGCTCACGGTTTCAGATGTCTCAATCCATAAACAGCCAGCTCCATTCCTTGGGGGTCTAGGGGAGGCAAAACATCATGGTGGAAGAATGTGGTGGAAGGAAGCAGCTCACATGATGATCAGGAAGCAGAGAGACTCCACTCTCCAGATATAAATAAAAACCCCAAAGCTCCACTCCAATGTCTATCTCCTCCAGCCATATCCTACCTGCCTTCAGTCACCACTCAGTTAATCCCATCAGGAGATCAATTTACTGACTGGGTTAAGACTCTAATAACCCAATTATTTCTCCTCTAAACCTTTTGCATTTTCTCACACATGAGCTTTTGGGGGATACTTCACATTCAAACCAGAATACCTGTTCTGTTTATTCTCTCCTGCCTTGATCCATGGTTTTGATATTTGGACTCTGCTCATGTTCCTATAATTAGCATTAGATCTTGTTTAGACACCATGTTTTGGTAACATATTTTGGAAACTAATTAAATCCAGGTCTGGGAGTCCTGGCCTGCTCTTTGCCCTAAGTGTAGAAGACCAACCTGCACCATGCCTCCCCCATTCATATAATTGACCTCCTTCTGGCTCACTGAGAGATGTAGCTAACACCAGCTACTGGCCTGTCACTGGGCCACCTTGTTCTACTGCTGGGCCTTCAGAGATGCTTCCTCCTGCTTGGCCTTTTTCCTATTGTCACTTACTAGATATATCCTCCGTTGCCTGTTCTTTCCTTTCAGCTCTGTGATGACTGGGTCCCAGAAGGCACAATCTGATCCACCCATTGTCATCCACACACAGGTGAGACCAGGGACCACCTCTCCTACTCCTATGGAGCAGTGAAGGGAATTCTGAGTTCTTCAGATTTAGAGGCCACATCTTTTAAGAGTAGTCTTACACAAAAGTCTAGAGACTCCACATTTAATATTTCTAGTGTTTCCTGAGTCACATCCTTTGTAGTGCTTTTTAGAAAACAGTACATGCTTGGTCAGAAGTATATATTCTCTTTCATAGAATGTATATTTAAAAAATAAGGTTTATGATCACATAGGTATGACCCCAAATACTGGTACTGCACATTTATTTCTCTATTACCTCAGTTACTTAGTCTCTCTGAGCAATAGGATCCTTACCTGTAAAATGGCAATGATGTTATCTTTGTCTCTGGACATGATGAGAAGTCACCGAGGCCTGTTGTGTTTGGTGGTCTAACACAGGGGCTGCCTACCACCAGTGACCCCCTCCACATCCTCACTCCCGCCACATTGTCTCCTTTGCATTCTTTGGACAACCAGTATTTTCTTGGAACTAAAATTCAAATTCTTTTCTTGGCAAAGAGACTTCTCAAGTTTGAGGACTGCCTATTGGTGAGCAGGAACCAGAAGAAAGCAGGCCCTTGAATGTCAATCAGAGTTCAGATCTTGGAACTTCTGCTTTCTCATTGCCTATGGCTCTTGTAGTCATGGATCCCTCCCAATTTGCACGTGTAGCCATCCAATTTCAATATGTTCTCCCTAAAAATTTGGCCACAGGGAACTTGGGAAACCTCTGCCTGAACTTTTGCATGTGGGAAGGGGGCGGGGGTAGAGCTCAAGAGGTAGTTCAGGAAGGTCTCCAAGAGTCTAATCTGCACTGCGAGGATTTCAAAGTGATCTTATATGGTTTATTTTATTTAAATTCTAAAGGATGTGGGCATAGAGCTATTGCAACTGCAGCTGCTTTGTTACTAGTACTACTGTTATCACGGTTGCTGCCATATTACTACGTTTAATACCAAAGGTCATACAGAAGTGTCATAACAGGGAGCTTAAGGCTTGGCCCTGGAAGACAGTCTGTCATTTCATGACATGTTCAGTTTTCTTGTGAGATAACTACAATGAGGCTATCTGCAGGGCCTATTTCATGGTGTGGTTCTCATAACTAAATGTGTTAATGTATGTGAAGAGCTTAGAGAAGTGTTTGGTCAGATAAGTACTATATATAAGTTATAGCTACTGATAAGGTATTTAATATTTATTATTGTTATCATTAGTATTGTTATTGTGGGGAGTCATGACTTAAATTCAATTTCAGTGT